TACCACAGCAATGTCATCAGTATTATAATAAATCTAGTAAATACTAGTTGCGTTCACGCACAGCTCTTAGCACGGGCTAAGAGGTCAAATTCTTTAGCCCGTGCTAAGAAAACGTGCGTGAATGCTTAGCACGGGCTAAGGAATGCTAAGTACGGGTTAAATCTGATCCGAATTTAAGACGCGGTCTAGACCTTAGCACGGGCTAACAAAGTATGCGCGAACGCTTAGCCCAGGGCTAAGCGCCCTCTGCGGCGACCTTTGGGTGTGAAAATTGTCCCATGTTCGTATCCTCGGGGCGGACATCCGGGCATTTTCACCGCCTGGCAACCGGAGGCGGTGAAAACAAAGGCCCAAAACTCGCAGAAAACGGTATTTTGGGATGATTGTTGAGACTCCTCTGAACAGTGTAACAAGATTAGCCTTACGTGTGTAACATATATAAATTTGGTTGTTCGGGATTACTTCAAAGTTGAGTTTGTGTTGTTTTCTCGAATTTTCACCGGCTCGGCCGGCGTTCCACAGCAGCGCGCACAGAGCCCATAGAAATGCATGTACAGTGGTGCGCGTCGTAGCAACGTGGAACGTCTTGTGACGTAGCTCCGCCCCCAAGGATAACGACACTATTCCACCGGTCATTACTCCGCGCTCACTTCCACACTAATCGGGTCACTGTAGTAGAGCGTACAGCAGCTCCAATCGTAGACAAAATAAATTTGGTTCGCTGTCTACGACATGCATTAATAAAACGCTGTATTCTGTTACGCCCGTTGTATACTGTTTATGTGCATCCAAATGAGTGGTCCGACTTCTCTCGCGTTCCTGTGCACGTCGCTTCAAAATTAGAATGAAACATGCCAGCAGCAGAAATAGAACCTCGCGCATATCATCCATTTTTCGTTCGTAAATAGCGGCTTACCAAAGGTCACCGACTAATGGCACCCCTTAGCCCGTGCTAACGACTGGCCCTCCCTGTGCGTGGACGCAATTGGGTCTAGCCGAAATGCAAATATGCTAGATAAGCCTAAATCAGCTTAAACCTTAGCCCGTACTTCGTGTAACGTGAACACAACTACTGTCAATGTTTAGTGAATACTAGACTTACCACAGCAATGTTATTCAGTAGTTGTAATGCATTTTCATCTCCTGAATTTTTATTCGCGAGATAAGTACAAACACATGGCAGAAGATCCCATCCAACAGATTTCAGTAAGACCTGGAAATAAATTGAAATATCACTCTAGTCAAAGATTGAGTCTACAATTGTGTTTATATGGTAGGGTGATGGCAATGGTTATATAAAATATTTTGATAGAAAACAAATTTGGGAATTCAAACCACCAGTAAATGACGGTTTACAACACAACCCACAACATCACATTATAATTTATATGTCCTGTTTACATAGAATTAACACATAACATCATTTCTAACAATATTCAAAAAATTACCTCATAATCCTTATTACTGAATACTTTGTATACTTCGTTTAATTTTCCTTCTTCTATATATGTTTTAGCTGTAACAATGAAAACACTTTTTTGACCATCTTCCAAATCTTTGAAAGTAACACATTTCTGAAAGACATAATGTTGTACATGTTGTACTTTTGTAAATGTGGGTACAAGTCACTGACATGACAGTTTTCTGATGTGAAAATGTATGTATGGAAGGTATGTCACAATCAAAGTGTAACAACAAGACAATCATAAACATTTAAATGAAAAAAAAAGGATGGACAGAAGAAAAAAATATATTATATGAGAGCAAGTCTAAATAATGGAACTCTAAAGCATATAAACTTGGTTTAATAATCTGATACCGTAAGTGATTGAACTAAAGATGCATTGTGAAATTATGTTTTACCAGATGCCTTAATGTCAGTAGCAAACACATACACCATCTCACCGGCCAGCAAGCTAGCCACAATTAAACCATTCAGTCTTCATAACTCATTGCAATGACTTATTATTTGATACCAATGTTTATATTTTTTAAATCTAAATTGTCTTGAGATACCTGAGATGTTATATGTACACTGTGAAGTATTGACAATAAACAAATCTAACAGGTTATTACTATAGTCATTCCGAAAGTTTATATATACATGTACAACTAATCAAAATTCAATATGCACGTTTATTACACAATATGAAAACTATTATTTTTTTACAACTTTTATAATAATAAATTTATTTAATATTTATTTTACTTTGCTCATTTTATTATTTTGATACATTTCATTTTGTAATTAAACTAGCATTTGACTATGTTAATAAATTATGATATGATTTTGAAAACATTACAGTTAGGTATGCCATGTTTCCTGAATTAAGACCGCATCCTTGCCTTATCAGAGAATCACAAGTAACAGCAAATAAAATTGCCAATATATATCAAGCAGAACAAATTGTGGGAGGAATTTGTCTGGTAAATCTTTCAAAATAAAGTCATGATTTTATTAATAGTATCGATAGTGGTCAATTAAACGTTATGACATCATTGCATACTCACAAACAATATTTGCCTGTGAAAATGGTAGACACACGTCCTAGGAAATTATAATAGACCAGGTTGTTTACAAGTGTAAATAATTTATTGGAAAAATACTGAATGGCATAAAAGTAACAGATGAAATTTAATTGTAGTCACTGAAGACTTTTAGCATTCTCCACAATCCCAAACAGACAAATGCAACCTGATTTACATACTAGTACATCTGCATATTAATTTGCATGTCACTTACAAAATACATCCCTATTTACCAACATTCCTGTACATTCTAGGAAATCCAAACTGCCAAAATATGCTTTCTGAATCTTTTATTCACATTGAATATCTCTGTATTACATCACGGTTACAAACTGGTTCATTGTTTGGCGCCTCAGAGGAAGGGATGGATGCAGATATTTCCTGAAGGAGTCGCTCTGCCAGTCCCCCAGGAGTTTGATTAACTCAGTGGGTATACCTGAGTACAACGCCCATGAAGCACCACCCCGGCGAAAACTGTGGGTTGAATACTGATCAGCATTATGCACCAATGGAGCCAAAAGAGAGGCCAGATGTTTGGTAAACATAGGAGGGAGGACTGGCTGGGGGGGAAGGAGTATAAAGGCTGGTCCTTCAGGAGGAGAGGGGGTATTCCTGAAGGCAGCAATAACAGCTGAAACGGGACAAAGAGGGTGATTGGGGAGGATTAACTCAGTGGGTATACCTGAGTACAACGCCCATGAAGCACCACCCCGGCGAAAACTGTGGGTTGAATACTGATCAGCATTATGCACCAATGGAGCCAAAAGAGAGGCCAGACGTTTGGTAAACATAGGAGGGAGGACTGGCTGGGAGGGAAGGAGTATAAAGAGACATACTAATCAACCTGTGTTGATTATTAATAAAAGGCTAAAAGACAGCAATCAACCTGTGTTGATTATCGGATCCATATAGGGGGTAGTTTATTACTAAAGCACTATGAACTAAGAAACCAGTGTTTTCACAAGGAATATGCAAATATATGCAAATGCTATGTAAATGTGAACATGCTGACTTTGAAAACACTTGTAACGTACATATCTAATCAAAGAAAGCTTAGAAAGAACTCCCATGTGCTGAGAGTATTGGAGACACATTAAATATAATTCGAAATTACTTAGCTGAAAACTAATTATGCAAATCAGAAAATTAATATGACCAGATTTGAGTGTAAAACTAATGAGGTCTGCGCAATGTAACAGAAAATCTATGTCTCTAAGTTTAATTGAAATGTGATTAGAACCAAAAAATTATGAATTATTATGCTTATTAGGGAATTAATATGAACAGATTTTTACCCCAAACTAATTAGGTTTGTACATTGTCCTAGAGCATCTTTATACTAATTTCATTGAAATGGAATAATTAGTACCGTGAAAACTCCAAAATTTCGACCCCTCTAAAAATTCGGCCGCCTATTTATTTGCCGGTTTCTGTGTTTTATTTACCTACAAATTTTCGACTCCACTAAAAATTGCCGACTCATTCTTATTCGAAAATTGCGACCAGTTTTAGTTTTCCCCCAAACGAAAAAAACACACGATGTGAGCGTTCAAACGGGACCTTCCTCGAAGGCATGAAT